ATGAGTCTGATCTAACTTGACAGCACATAACAACAACAACAACAATGGGGTTTCCAAGGCTGAAGTCTTTATGGAAGCAGACTGCGTGCATCATCTTTCTCCCACAGAGTGGCTGGTGGGTTCCAACCACAGACCTTTTGTGGTTGGCAGCTGAGCACTTAACCACTGTGCCACCAGGGCTTCTTTCTCATGGCTTAGGGTATATAAAATCGGCCAACATAGCCATTTTTATTTTTATCCAGTGGACAGCCTGAAACAATTCCTCTCAAATGGGATAACTGAAGCCCACACTTAGATGTTTAATATATTTTAGACATGTAGTTTGTAGTTCACTCTATGTTTGCTGAACTAGTTGGCTTTTTCTACTATAGCTCTATTTTCATTTTTACTGTTATTTGAGGGTGATAGAATTAATAAATTCTTACTGGAGAAAAAAAAATGGGACTCAACTGAACAAAATCAGATACATACATTTATAGTAAAAACCAATTTCCTTCACTTTTAAGAATAATTACATAATAATACTTATATTAAGCTATAAGGTAAAGCTGAGATTGACTATAAACAGTCTATGTTTTGGCTTCTATAACCTCCCAGTACTTGGTGAGGGAGGTTGTAAGATACTTAAATTTTTATTCTAATTATAAAACTTTATTTCCAGTAATAAAGTTTGTGGATCTAGTTTGTGGATCTCCACAGCTCTTAGACTCTTCATTCTGCTTCACTTATCTTGAAATCCTGTAATATCATTATGACATTCAATTGTTCAAGAATTGCCAGTGAATTCCTATTGTCTGGACCTGAATTCTGAATTGAGGCTCAATGTTTTAAATAAGATGAAAGCTTCCCCCCTCCTCAAGGTCATGTGTAGTATACATATACAAAAGAATAACAAGATGAAGGATGGGAGACTGTCATTAAAGTTAAGAGTTCCTGGTTTCCTACAGTCAGATAGTGAAATCCCTAAATAAAGGTTGGCAAAATACCACAAGTTGAGTTTCAAGTCTATTCTTTTGTCCAAGTGGATAGCAAACTGCTGTGTGTTGGGATTTGCCATGAGCAACTGAGTAGCTGCTGATTGTTAAAGCCATCCACTTGGGTTATTTCTGTTGGAGCAATACAGGGGGAATGAAGATCATCCTTGAAAATGATGGCCTGGGGGAAGAGGTGTGTTAGTTTTCAGTATCCTCCAAAACAGAAACGGTCATTTAGTAGTAGCTAGTGAGACTGACTCTTCTGGTTCCCCATAACATTCTAAGGAAACATTACCTTTCAAGCTATAAATATCCTAGAAGGGTTGTGATCTTACATCTAGGTTCCAAACTCAAGTGCATCCTGGGAGCAGAGAGATAAAACAAATTCTGGAAGTTAAACCTGTTGAGAACTTTGAAGTTAAAACATAAGTCTTACTTTATTATAAATCTGCGAGGGTCAAACAAAAATGTCTTTGGATCTATACGGAGAAGTCTGGTTGGAGAAGTAGTTCTTAACCCTGTCTGCATCAGAATCACTACCTCACGAAACAATTTTGATGTCTAGAGATTGTGATGCCACGGATTTTTGTGATATGCCCTGTAGCTGAGAGACCTTGAATTAAAGGTCATATCCAAAAACTGAAGTAAGACACAGGTTAAGTTTTTAGAATTCTAGAGCTGTGATAGAAGCTAGGCCTTTTGCCATTCAGAGTCCACTCATGTCATCATTGGGCAGTTTCACTTACCCTTCCTAAAGATATCCAAGTTTGAACATCTTAAATTTCCTTTAATCTATTTCAGTATTCTTTTTTTAAAAAATACTATTTATAAAAAATATCTGGAATATTTATATCTATCTATATATTTGGAATATCTAAAAGTATCTTATTTAAAAACCTTTGCCACTGTTTTTCTTAGAGCCAGTCAAAATTCCTGGACCTGGAATTGGAGATTTTCCCATAATATGGCCTAATCTACCTTTCCAATTTTGTTCTCCACTATTTCTTTGTTCAAATCCAAGTGTTCTCTGCTTCTTGTACACACTGATGCCTTCCAACCTTTGTGTTTTTCCCTCTCACTGATTCTCCTGCCAGGAATGTTCTTTCTAACCCTCCTCAGCATGTCCAAGTTTTATTCCTTCATTATTTTTGTTGTTGTTAGGTGCCATCAAGTTGGCTCCAACTCACAGCAACCCTATGTACAATAGGATGAAACACTGTCCAGTCCTACATCATCCTCACAATCCTTGCTAGGCTTGAGTTCATCATTCCATTTATCTATTTTGTTGACTGCCTTCTCCTTTTTCACTGACCCTCCACTTTACCAAGCATATCCTTCTCCAGTGAATGGTCCCTTCTGACAACACGAACAAAGTGAGACAAAGTGTGGCCATTCTCGCATCTAAGGAGCTTTACGGCTGCCTTCTTCCAGGACAGATTTGCTCTTTCTTCTGGCAGTCCGTGGCATTTTCAGTATTCTTCGCCAACACCACAACTCAAAAGCATCAACTCTTTTTCGGTCTTCCTTATTCATTGTCAGCTTTCACGTGTGTATGAAGTGAAAGAAAATACCATGGCTTGGGTCAGGTGCACCTTAGTCTTCAAAGTGACATCTTTGCTTTTTAACACTTTATAGAGGTCTTGTGCAGAAGATTTGCTCAGTGAAATAGGACATCTGATTTCCTGACTGCTGCTTCCAAGGGTGTTGATTATGGATCCAAGTGAAATGAAATTCCTCACAACTTCAATCTTTTCTCTGTTTATGTTATTTATTGGTCCAGTTGTGAGGATTTTTGCTTTATGTTGAGATGTAATCCATACTGAAGACTAGTATTTCATCTTCGTCAGTAAGTGCTTCAAGTCCTCTCCACTTTCAGCAAGCAAGGCTGTGTCATCTGCATATTGCAGGTTGGTAACAATCTTCTTCTAATCCTGATGCTGTGTTCTTCTTCATAGTCCAGATTCTCAGATTATTTGCTCCGCATACAGACAGAATATGTATGGTGAAAGGATACAACCCTGATGCACACCCTTCCTGAGTTTAAAGCCTGAAGTATCCCCTTGTTCTGTTCAAATGACAGCCTCCTGGTCTATGTACAGGTTCCTTGTGACCACAATTAAGTGTTCTGGAATTCTCATTCTTTGCAATGTTATCCAGAATTTGTTATGATCCACACAGTTGAATGTCTTTGAATAGTCAATAAAACCCAGGTAAACATTTTTCTGGTATTCTTTGCTTTTAGCTCAGTTCCATCTGACAAAAGCAATAAAATCCCTTATTACTTGTTTTCTGAATCCAGCCTACATTTCTGGAACTTCCCTATCAATAAACTGCTGCAACCATTTTTAAATTATCTTCAAAAAGATTTTACTTGCACGTGATATTAATGATTTTGTTTGATAATTTCCATATTTTGGGTCACCTTTCTTTAGAATGGGCACACATACGGATCTCTTCCAGTCAGCTGGACATGTAGCTGTCTTCCAAATTTCTTGGCATAAACAAGTAAGTGCTTCTAACACTCATCAGTTTGTTGAAACATCTCAACGGCTATCCTGTCAATTCCTGGAACCTTTTCTTTTGCCAATTCCATCAATGCACCTTGGACTTCTTCCTTCAATACCTTTGGTTCCTGATCATATGCTACCTCCTGAAATAGTTGGACATTGACCCATTCTTTTTGATACAGTGACTGCTGTGTATTCCCTCCATCTTCTTTTGATGCTTCCTACATCGTTTAAAATTTTACCCATAGAACCCTTCAGTATTGCAATTCGAGGCTTGAATTTTTTCTTCAGTTCCTTCAGCTAGAGAAATGCCAAGGCTGAGAAAACTCTTTCGGTTTTCTAATTCCAGGTCTTTGCACGTTTCATTATAATACTTCTTTGTCTTCTTGAGCTGCCTTTTGAAAAAAGTCTTGTTTAGTTCTTTTATTCCAGCATTTCTTCCATTCACTTTATGTTCAAGAGCAGGTTTCAGATCTCTTCTGACATCCATTCTGGCCTTTTCTTCCTTTCTTAATTTTTTTAATGACCATTTGCTTTCTTACTGACTGATGTCATCCCATAGCTTGTCTGGTCTTTGGTCATTGGTATTCGAAGCATCAAATCTATTCTTCAGATGGTCTGTAAACTCAGGTGGGATGTAATCAAGGTTGTATTTTGGTTCTCGTGGACTTAATTATCTTCAGCATCAGTTTGAACTTGCATATGGGCAATTGATGGTCTGTTCACAGTCTGCTCCTGGCCTTGTTTTGACTGATGATACTGAGTTTCTCCATTGCCTCTTTCCCAGACGTACTTGATCTGATTTCTGTGTATTCCATCTGGCGAGGTCCACATGTATAGCTGCTGTTTATGTTGTTGAAAAAAGGCACTTGCAATGAAGAAGTAATTGGTCTTGCATAATTCTATCATGCAATCTACAGTGTCATTTCTATCACCAAGGCCATATTTTACAACAAACTGATGATTCTTCTTTGTTTTCAACTTTCACATTCCAGTCATCAGTAATTACTCCTTCATAGTCCTCTTAAAGGAAGCTCTGGTAGCGTAGTGCCTAAGGCACTTGACTGCTAACCAGAAGACTGGCGGTTCAAACCCACCAGCCACTCCTCAGAAGGAAGGTTGGGCAATCTACTTCCGTAGTGATACTGCCTTGGAAACCAAAGGAGGGATTGCTATGAGTTGGGTCCGGCTTGACAGCACAAAACAATAACAGTCCTGTTAAAAAATGTTTCTTCCTTGAATCTTTACCAGATCTCTGCCCTCTAACCATACATACCACCCTATAGCTCCTAAACAACTTTTGCCTCCTCCAAATTCATCTATTATGTGAACTCCACCTCTTAAATAGCCTTTCAACACTTCTAGTTCTTTTTTTACATTTTTTATTGTGATTTACAAAGCATATTTATTTTACACTCAACAGTTCATACATGGCGCTCTAGTGGCATAGTGCCTAAGGCATTTGACTGCTAACCAGAAGGCTGGCGGTTCAAAGCCACCAGTCACTCTTCGAAAGGAAGGTTGGGCAATCTACTTCCATAGTGATACTGCCTCGGAAACCCAATGTGGCGTCGCTATGAGTCAGATCCGACTCAGCAGCAGTGAGTTTGTTTTTTTGGTTTATACACATTTTGTTTCATGGCACTGATTACAGTCCCCTCAATGGAATAGCTTTCTTCCTTGAATCCTTCCTACCTGTGCATTCCTATCTAGCTTTCCCCCTGTGTAAATACTGTCCTTTCAGTCTCTCATGATTGACTGTTTTAAGGGGAGCAACTCCCTGGGGTAGGTGTTCAGCTCATAGGCTTTTCTGTTGTCTGGCTGAGAGCTAACCCACCGGAGTGCTTTTCTAGGCCCATAATCTTAGGGTTTCACCAGTCTCTGTCTGACCAGTAATTCTGGTTATTTTTGTGTTTTTGAATTTTGTTCCATATTTTTCCTCCCACTCTTATCCAGGATCTTGGATGCTGATCCATTTCCAAGTGGCTGGCCTACGTAGCCAGGTACCATCTCGTTCTTCTGGTCTCAAGATTATGTAGGCTGAACATTCCAAGTTCTAAATGGCTGGATCTGTATTTCTCTCTCTCCCCCATATTGCCCACCACATTAATATGGATGTTTTTTGAATGACTACATAATACTTGCTTGATCTTATAACACCTCCCCTTCAGACACTAAAGGTTGAAATCTGATAAAATGTATTTTGAACAACTCAAATGTCCATCAGTTGGTAAATGAAGAAACAAAATATGGTATATGCATACGATAGAGTATTATTCATCAGCCTTAAAAGAGATTGAAGTACTGATAAATGCTGCATGGATGTACCTTGAAAACACTGTTGTTGTTGTTGTTATGTGCCGTCGAGTCGGCCCCGACTCATCGCGACCCCTCCTTGGGTTTCTGAGGCAGTATCACTACGGAAGTAGGACTGCCCAACACAAAAGGCTGTATATTATATGATTCCATTTATATGAAACGTCTATCCAGAGTAGAAGGGAGCTCTGGTAGTTTAGTGCCTAAGGCACTTGACTACTAACCAGAAGGCTGGCGGTTCAAACCCACCAGCCCCTCCTTGGAAGGAAGGTGGGGCAGTTACTTTCGTAGTGATACTGCCTCGGAAACCCAAGGAGGGGTTGCTATGAGTCAGGTCCGACTCGACGGCACATAACAACAGCAACATCCAGACTAGGGAAATCTGTAGATAGAGAAAGTAGGTTAGTGGTTACTAGAGGTCGTGGGCAAAGGAGAATGGTAAGTGACTACTAATGGGTATGGAGTTTTCTTTTGGGGCGATGACAATGTTTTGTATTTAGGTAGTAATGAAAGTTGTACAACCTTGTGAATATACTAAAAACCAGTAAATTGTACATTTTAAAAGGGCACAAAGGAAAATAAATTATACTCAAAAAATTAGATAATTCCTCATTCCTGACTTTTAAAAAATTGAGTATAAAGCTAAAAGTGATTTTGTTAAACCATATAGAAATCCTTTTAAATAAATATAGAAAGAAGAGAGTACAGATTGCCATGTGGTTTACCTATGTTACGTTTTTTAAATTTTATGTAACACCAATGGGAAGGCAGGTATTATCCTTACAATAGAAATGACAAAACCAAACCTCACAGAATTTAGTTATTTTGTCCAAGGTCATAATGTCTAGATTTGAACCCATGTCCGTATAAACTCCATGTTTTTAACATTATACCCAGCTGGAAGGTAATGAATACTAAAGACATAAATATATTTAAAAAGAGGTAAATTATTCATGAATTTTCCCTGAAATTGTTATTTCTTTTTTAGAGGCTGGAAAAAATTCAAAAAGTCCAGTTAAATTGCACTAAGGTGAAGAGTAAGCAAAGTGAACCCAGCAAATACTCAGGGTTTTCTACCTCAGACAACAGCACAGCCAACACACCCCAGGATTACAGTGGAAATATGAAATCATTTCCATCTAGGAGCCCTTCACAAGGAGATGAAGATTCTGCTCTGATTCTAACACAAGACAATTTGAAAAGCTCAGATCCAGATCTGTCAGCCAACAGTGATCAAGAGTCTGGCGTGGAAGATCTGAGCTGTCGTTCTCCAAGTGGTGGTGAATGTGCACCGAGTGAAGACAGTGGGAAAGACCGAGATTCTGATGAAGCAGTCTTTCTCACAGCATGAAGTTTCCCCTTGAAGTTCCAAAATAAAAGACACATAAGAAATACTTCCAAAAATAAGGGAACTGTGCAATTTAAAATAAAAATCTCAAGAAATCGTACTTGTCACCAGGAATTATAAATTTTAGGTACAAAAAGGGAAATAGTAGCCTACTTTTAGTTTTGTTAAGATGTTGACAGACAGGAAACAGCCATTTTATCTAAAATAACCCTTTCATTACCCCCAGGACATATAGCGACCACCTACATATTCTGCCTCTCGGGTTTATTGGAAAGCTATTTCACTGACGGTATGTGCTGCCAGCAGGCAGGGACCTGTATAACTGTTTGAAGCAGAAGAAACAAGTGTGTACTGCAAATTACTATTTTTACAGGGTATTGCATGAGGTGTTGCATCATGGAGGTGTGGATGTGCAAAATTTTTGTTTCTTTTGGCTTTTTTTTATAGCAAGATAAGCCTTCTATTTCTGGGTTCCTGTCTTGGTTCTCTAGTGCTGCTATAACAGAAATACCACAAGTGGATGGCTTTAACAAACAGAAATTTATTCTCTTAGAGGTTAGGAGGCTAGAAGTCCAAATTCAGAGTGCCAGCTATCAGGGAAGACTAGGCTCAAAGTCTGAGTCCAGAGTGCTAGCTCTGGGGGAAGACTTTCTTTCTCTGGATTGTGAGTGGAGGCACTTTAACCCTGGGCTTCAGTTCTGCCTTCCCAGCCCAGTGGAGCAAGCTGGAGGCTTCTCCTGACTCATACAGCTATTGTCTGGCAAGGCTAAATAATCCAAGGCTAAATAACCTGCACACAAAATGGCAGATTGTTGGCTCACAGCTACAAAGGCAACAATCCCAAGATCAGCAGGAAAACGTTGTTGTTGTTGTTATGTGCTGTCGAGTCGGACCCAACTCATAGCGACTCCTCCTTGGGTTTCCGAGGCAGTATCACTTACAGAAGTAGATTGCCCATCTTCCTTCCAAGGAGTGGTTGGTGGGTTTGAACCGCCAACCTTCTGGTTAGCAGTCGAGTGCCTTATGCATTACACTACCAGAGCTCCTGGAAACACATTAGGTTACTGGTTTAAGTCCAGGAACTGCAGATAATGACAGGCCAAACGTAGGATCCAAAATGAGCAAAAAGCTAAAAACTTTTCCCAAAGCTTCTCCATATATACTGGAAGCAGGCTACTCCCCTTGAACTAACTAGTTGCTCACAGCAGATTACACTATGGAGGTGATGACACCACATCTATTATCATTTTGGGGAAAAACTACATCACAACTGCCAAGCCACTCACAATCACAGACAAGCCAAGTTGACACACAACCTTAAGTACCATAATTCCTGTTCATTATTTGGAAGTTGAGTTTTTCACGGATTCCATGATCATATCAATACATTTTCATGCACCATACATTGTATGCATCTGTCAAGGAATCCAGAAGGCAATGAAAAGTCCAGAGGGACATATGTGTCCCACACAATCCTATTCCCCCCCCCCCGAGTTCAGAGTGCCATGTGTCCCCACATAATCTAACTCTCTCAGAACCCAGAGGGACCTATATATATCTCCCACATACTATGTATAAAAATGCATATCCTTTACCAAAAATTCAGACACACTCAATGATTCAGCATGCATTCCATTAAATAAAAAACATTCTGTCAACAAAAAACTTAAAGCAGAAAATAATTCAATCATGAAAAGGATAAGTAAAATTATTTACCATTTCAAAACTCTCTCCAAAATTTGCTACAGAGCAATTTCTCCCATCATCTGAGGTTACAAAAAGAAATCTTCCTGGTCATAGCATGTGCTCATCGGGCACCCGAACCCCTTTCTAGTCTATAAAGGTCATTATTCTTTAACTTTTCCCCTTGTTTAATTTCCAGATCCATAGTCTGTGTTTTCTGTAATATCTAACATTATCTTCCTTTCTGGCTTTGTTACCAATATTTGTAAGGCAGAGAACACATTGTTGAGATGCACCCTTTTTGGTTAATAGACAGGTCCCTGTAATTGAGGAGCTTTGAAATTGCTTAAGCTTCTGTTTCAGGTTTAATAATCACTTTTACTTTTCCTTACATAATCTATTTTGCATGATACAAGAATTTTGTTTTCTCTGAACCTCTCCTGTTATTCATCATTTAAAAAATGCTACACTTATGAGTGACTTTTTCTCTTATTAGTAAGAGTCCAATACCTAATAATGTAGAAACAATATATACTCTCTGGTTCTTACATATGAATTCAGATTATATTAGCTTTATCAATAACAACTTTATGATACTATTCCAGAGACTACAACTACCAAGACATTGTGGGCCAGCCACCAGTCTGATCCCTGAAGAATAACCATGTAAAGTTCATAGGATAAAATTTCAGTGGCAGAAAACCCCATTTAAGAACTAGGAAGTGATTTAATTAACATTAGTAACATTGATGACCAGTGATTGCTGAAAGTTGTGATGAATTTTTATGATTTGCTCAAATGTACACTTGAAGTAGAATCATTCCCTGTCTTATGACCAAAAATAGGACTTAATGGGTTAACTAAACTTTTGATCTGAAGGATCAGTGGAGAAAAGTTACTATCTTTGGACAGAGATAATATTCACACTGTATGCTTTTAAAATACTAGTATATTCTAGTATAGAAAGGAAATAGTTTAGATTTAATTTTCACAGTCTACATCAATATTTTGATATAAGAAATTATCTTATAGGAAAATATGTTACTATTACCGAAATGGGAACAAAATAAAGGGCAAGAAAACTATATTACTGAAATCTCTAGATGAAAGACTCAGATAGTATAGCAATATATGTAAATTATAATTGTGTTGTTCATATTTATATATTTACTTTAATAACTTAAATATATTAGAGACCCATTGATATAAAAGTACTGTTAATGTAAAAAGGCAAATGTAATTTTAGAATATAAAATTTGAGCATTCACTAACGAGAGTTCCCAAATTATTTAAGTATAAGTAATGTTTATTCATTTTCTGCAATATACTGTATGTAGTAGAGGATACCTTGTTGATAAATACTCAGGATAGTAGTATTGGCTTTGCATTTTTATAACATAACTTGCTTCATGATATTCTTGTAGATACCAACTCTTATAAACTTTGCTGCCCATAATTAAGGACGTGACTTTACTTTATTCCATTTGGCAGAGTACTTCTGCCAAAACAGAAAAAAGGAATAATAATTTTTTAAAAAAATGACACAGTAACTATGTCAAACAGGATTATACATTTATTTTCAAAAGCAAACAGTATAAATATTTGATATTTAAAAATTTAATTATTTAATGTGACACCTTCAACATCAGAGCCATAAATTTTCTTTGGTCCCTCTAACCTTGTTACAAGACATTGCAAGTATATATTTATTTAGTCTTTTTTTTTTTAGAGGTTGACCTGAGACTGAAACTTATATAAAAGGTTACATTTATTGCTCATTAAAACTTGTGCTTCCCACAGGGCCTGAAAGAACATGGTCAATCTAACAAGAATACATCTCGAACTATACATTTTCATTTTAAATAAAAATAAATCAGGAAGTGCTTTGTTTAGGGTAGTTGGATTAAAAACAGTTTAAAAAATTGATACAAGGCAGATTACGTTACAATTAGTGAATTTAAGAGCTCAAGTCATTCATTATTTAGTGATATTCAAACACATTTGATAATTAAAAAAAATTTTGATCATAATCACCTATTAACCTGATATTCCTAATCAAGAATGAAAGTTTTTTAGAATAAAGGAAAACTATGGAAAAGACAGACGAAACACTGGAAAACATTTTTATTAAGAGTACTTCAGAGGAAATTTACTTCCTCTGAAATGAACCTGAGCTATGTTCAATTTAAAAAGGAAAATCACCAAACCTACTGCTATCAAGTTGATTCCAACTCATAGCAACCCTATAGGACAGACTAGTAATGCTCCAAAGGGTTTCCAAGGCTCTAAGTCTTTATAGAAGGAGACTGACTCATCTGTCTTTCTCCTGCAGATGCTTGGTGAGTTTCAACTGCTGATCTTTTCGTTAGCAACCCAATCCTTTAACCATAGCACCACCAGACCTCCTTTCCTTCCACTTAAGAATATATAACTTATGATCAAACTTACTTAACAATCAATCTCCATTCCAATATAAACTACCTATTTTCTATCACTAGAAATTTCTTTCAACCTTGAAACATCTTTAGTATGTATCTTACTGATCTAAAACTTTTTTCTATTTGGAAATAATTAGGTTTTAATGTCTCCCCATTACAAACTACCACCCTGAACAGTCTAAGAACTCCTAAGCTTTCTGATTTCCATCTAGTTTTCTGTGTTAAAGTAAAATCAGAATCTCTGCTTTGACATGCATTTCTCTTTTTCCTCTAGCATTACTTCTCCAGTATGGTCAATTTTAAAGTAGGAAAAAAGATAGCCATAAAATTATAAAAATGGTAACTTTATAAAGTTTCTATTATAAAAGCAGAACTCAAATTCAAATGCAGATTATTTCCATCCTGGGTGACTTACATAACCTATATCTAAACTAATGTATCTGATAAATACAGATAATTGTGATAAAAAACTTCTAATTGGTAGATTTTGATGAGGTTTTCTAATTAATTTTGGAAAGAGAAACCAAGCTGTATTAACTGGTATAGCATGAAAACTGGGACAGTTCAAGGTTAAAGAATGAGTTATTAAGATATTGAGATGAGTCATGTAGATGATTATGTAGAAGAGATTTACTTTGTATAATTTCTTTTTTTCTTTTTTTAGTGGAGAGGTGGGTAGGTAAGCACCTAAACCACGTCTGAATCATTGCTGCACAGTATTTTCACTATGCCTTATTTTTAGTGGGTGCTTAATAAAACTGGTGTGGTTTGCTGGTCCGTTGTTGTGGGCTGGACTTGGTATCTTAAAAACCTGCTGATTGCTTGCAAATGATTGGGGCTATGAGGTCCTCCATTGCAATGATAGCTGGTAAAACTGAAGCTCTGATCCCCAGTGCAGTAAAGAAAGTTTCTAAATACCCAGAGGACTCTGCCACAAGTTAAAAACACGAACTTTGACCTCAGTTACCTCACCTATAAATCTGGAATAATTATACTTTCTTCATACAGTCATTTTGAAGACTAAACAACATGCCCTTAGCAGTGCCAGGAAGATAGATGATTAATAAAGGTTATTTTCTTTATCCAACATTGTATCTTTAGCATTCATGTGAATGACCTTCCACAAACACAGACTAAGTATTAAATACTTTTCAAGTATAAGAAAATAATGGTGATTTTCTTAAAGCTCTCATGCCAAAAACATGTATAGGAAGAACAGAAGAATAAAGATAAACTGCACTGTATGCTGGTATTTGGAATGACAATCATTTTGGGGATGAAATTAAACAAAATATGCTTTAGTTTGTTTTGTGATTTAGATACTACCTTCATAAGCCTCAGAAATACAGATCAAGATTTTCTCCTTTATTAGCTTTTAAGGATACCTGTGAAATATTTTCATTCTATACCATGATATAGAAGTAAGTTGATGAGCATAGTATAAGACAAAGATTCAATTAAATTCATTAAAATTAGGATGTTCTAATAATTAAATATTAATTTTACTTACTACTAATGCTTTTCTATTATGAAAAGCTAACTCACGGTAAAAGGTCAGAAAAATTCATTGACTTTTCTTATGTCTAGGTTTATTATTTGTTGAATAAAAGAGCTGTTACTAACTTTAACATTAGGAGTTTAGAAACTATATTGAACCATGAACCTATTAGATACTTATTTTAAAAAATAAACACAAAAAAACCCATGAAAGTTTGTGTTGGATTCGTTTAAGTAAAACACACTTTTTTCCTATTAGGCAAAACATCCATTTACCTGTATTGCTTTTAAATATCTATTTAGTGTTAAAAATAAAACAACAATATATAGGAACAAGTGGTTTATCCTTTTGATTTATTGTACTTATTAAAAGTTCTTTTTTTTTTTTTTCCGGACAGCACACTGGCAGGTTTGGTGTTTCCTGATACTATGAATATTTAAAAACAAATTGCTTCTCAAAGTTTTATCCAGAAAGGAGGAAGAGAAATACTGATTTTTTCAAAAAAGACTGAAAAGAATAATCTAAATAACAAACCATTTTTTATAATGAGGCAGTTTCAAATTAAAAATACAAATTTAAATGAAATAATTTTATAAAATAATGAAACCTAGATAAAATTACATGCACAGGTATTTAATTTCTAATGGGGGGGGAACAGCAGTAGAACTTAAATATGATAGGATTTATCAACAATAAACAAACATTTTTAGTGCAGAGAGTACAGAAAACTTTTCAAAGCAAAGACTATAGCAATCATTCTAACCTGTACAAAATCAGTCTCAGTTCTATATACAAGCTATACAGTCTGTCTAAATTCAGCTACTGTGATGAAATGCCAATTTGTGAATCATAAATACAAACAATGTGCTTAGTTTTTTGTCCCATTCCTCTCTTGGCAGTTCATGTTTTCAGGAAAATCTGGAAAGAAAAGAAGAGGAAAAAAAAAGACTTCTAAGATTTAATTTAAGATGATAATTTTTCATCTCTTTACTTCCCTTCCAGGTAAGATTTACCTATAAGGAAGTAACTTGATTGTGGATGAGGAAAGTATTCTAGTATGTACAAATAAGTAACCAATTACTCAATGGCCACTCTCAGTATTAAAAATCAACCCTCAAATATTGACAGTTTAACTTGGAAAATAAGATATGAAACAGTACAATGGTTGGTACAATTCAGGGGAGCAGATGAGTTGAGCTGAAGATGAGAAATGCTTGTCATTTCCCTCCTGGTAGCACGCTCCCTACCTCTTCAGCCCAGTAAGTGGTTAGAGGACCCACACGGCACCAGTCTCCTGGCCAAACTGATGAGGCTAGGTGGACACCTCACCTGTACTGAGATAGCTTCTTTCCTGGGGATCTGTATCAGAACTGAAAAGATTCTTCTCAGTCTCCGTTGGCTGCCTAAATTTTCAATGCTATAACCAGGCCTGTGGACAGGCTGAACTATGTACAAGTGTAGCAAAAAATGCTGGCTGAAGAGTGAGCAAGAAAGCACATGAGAATGAGACAGAAAAGAAAGGAGAGGTCCAGAGACGAGAAACAAATAGCTTCAGAAAGGGTGCTTTGGTTACTGATGGCTCCTAGTTGTTTTTAGTCTCCCAGGCAACTGAGCTATAATTTTCAGCATTTTGGCTCTGTGACATATCCCGGTCTTCACCCAGTAACGTAAGTTTTTGTTAAGATTGTTTGGGTGGGAACTATGATTTGCAAGCAAATCATTCTTAAAACAAGATTGATGGAAAAGAAAAGGAAGAAATCAGATAAGAACAAAGATAATGGTGGTAGAAGAAAGAACAGGATGTATAAAAGAACATATGGAGAAAATGGAAAATTAAAATGGATGATTTGAAATACAAGCCAGATAACAGAAATCTTAAAACTGGAGAGAGAAATTTGGTGTTGATACTGTTACTGCTAGGGGCTTATTACAGGTCTGGAGCAGAGAAGTTATATTTAGGAAGTAGTATTTTAGGAAGATCACCCTGTCAATGTTGTGCAAGACAGAGAAACCCTGACATCAGGGAGACTCGTCAGAAAATTATTGGAGTAATCCTGGTGTGACATGGAAGAGACAGACTAGAAATTCATTTTAGAGGAAGAAAAGAGGAGACTACTGAGAAATACTACAACCAAATGATAATGGTAATAGTCTGCAAACCACCTGAGAGAAAGGAAGTAACTCTAACTTATAATCTAAACAACAACAACAACAACATCACATACTGAAAAATACTTTTCATTTAAGCCAACATGAAGCTACTGAGAATTTAGATACTGAAAATATCTAAAGAGATTTCCACTTGTGATATGCTTATTATTATTGTGCTTACTGCATATAGCATTCTCTATATTATATAGCATAAAATGATAATGACAGATTTATGTTTGTAAGCTAACTGAACAGGCACTCCTAAGAGCACTTCAATCAAAAAATAGTTACATAATATCACTGAGACTCAAACTTTTTGAAATATAGCAATTTACCTATAGAGGAGCATGAAATTGACTGTGCATTGCTATTGCCTGTTGAAGTTTCTCTTCCTTGGCTCTTCTACAGTGGCAAATCTAGAAGAGAAATTATTCAAAATACCAGTCACTTCTCCAAAGGATGTACCTGCTACTTCCTATATTATGACAGAATTCTAAGAATTTTAACCTGCTGACATAATTTCAAGTTTTGAAATTCCTTAGAATTTAAAAATACAACAAACAAACCTTTAATTTTGGTTGGAAGACAGCCTTTACCTACACACTTTAAGAACATATGACAAACTCTGATTCTCTTTTTCAATTTCTGATTATAAAATTCCAAGTATCTGTGTTTTTAAAACAAGAGAATATTTTTTTATTCTGTCAACCTGAAAGATTGACAAATAAAAACTTCAAGGCATCAGACACACTGTCCTTGAGTCAGATACAACTCAGAGCAACCCCTCCTTGGGTTTCTGAGACGGTATCACTACGGAAGTAGATTGCCCAACCTTCCTTCCCAGGAGTGGCTGGTGGGTTTGAACCGCTAGCC